TGGAAGGGGAGTGGCGGGGACTGGGACAGACTGGCATGGACTTGGAGGGAACTGGGAGGGGACTGAGACTGGGCTGGGAAGGCATTAGAGGGGACTGGGAGGGACTGGAGGGGACTGGGATAGACTGGGGGAGACTGGGATGGACTGGTGTAGATTAGGGAAGGGATACTGGGATGGACCGGGAGGACACTAGGAGTGATGGAAAGACTAGGGTAGACTGGGGAGGGGATACTGGGAGGGGATTGCGATGGACTGGGAGGACACTGAGGGTGATGGTAAGACTGAGGCAGATTGGGGAGGGATAGGGAGAGGGGACTGGGATGGACTGGGAGGACACCGGGGGTGATGGAAAGACTGGGGCAGATTGGAGAGGGCATACTGGGAAGGACTGGGAGGGGGGTGGGGTCGGTTGGAGGGGCTGGTAGGGGTTGGATGGCACTGGGGCATATTGGGATGGGGGCACTGGCAGGAACAGGGAAGGCACTGGGGGGGACTGGAGACAACTAGGAGGGGTTGAAGGGCACTAGAATGGACTGAGAGGAGCCTGGGGGGCACTGGGAGGGACTGGATCCCCATAACCACTCTTTTATCCCCCTCAGGACCTCCAAACTTCCTCAACCCCACAACAGGACCCCCCAAGACCCCACAAACTCCTCATTTCCCCTCCATAATCCCCTAAACTACTGTTTTAACCCCCTCAGGCCACCCAACCCTCTCTAAGATCCCTCTAACCCCTGTTTTTTCCCCGTTTTCCCCCCAGGTGAACTTGTGGAGTGACTCCATTGAGGTGGAGCCCTAGACCCCCATAAGTCCCCAAACCCCACTCAGGATCCCCCTCACGACCCCCCTAACCCCTGTTTTTCTCTCCCCCCCCAGGTGAACTCATGGAGGCTCCATCGAGGTGAGGGTGACTGTGCTGGCCCTCCACAACCCTTTGATCCCACATAACCTCCATTTTTCCCCGCAGGTGAACTCATGGAGTGGCTCCATTGAGGTGGGAGTGACGGCGCTGGACCCCGCTGAGCTGGAGTTCCCCAGCAGCGCCACGGGGCTGCGGGGGGGCTCCTGGGTGGTCTCGGGCTGCTCGGTGCTGCGCGACGGCCGCTCCCTGCGCGAGGACTTCGGGCCCGACCTGGACGCGCTGGGGGAGGGGGACAGGGTGGGCGTGCAGGCCACGGCGGGGGGGGAGCTGCGGCTCTGGGTCAACGGGCGCGACTGGGGGGTGGCGGCCGCCGGGATCCCCCCCCGGGTGTGGGCGGTCGTGGATCTCTACGGCAAGTGCACCCAGGTGACCGTGGTGCCCCCCGAGGTGATGCCCCCTGCCCCCCAGCCTGAGGTTTTGGGAGGGGGAGCCGCCCTCCTGCCCCCGGAGCCGCCGCCGCTGCTGCCCACAGAGAGCAACGGGGTGGCCGGTACGGGGGGGTGGGGGTTGGGGTTTTGGAGGGGTAATTGGGGGGCTTGGAAGAGGTTTGAGGGTGATGGGGGTATCATTGGGGAGGTTGGGGGAGATGGGTGTCTGTGTGTGGGGATGGGGATGGGGTTGAGGTGGTGTTTAGGGGGCAGGGAGAGGGTAGAGGAGGTGTTTGGGGATTTGGGAAG